CCCCCCCCCCCCCCCCCCGTGTTTTGTGTCTCCGCTTTTCCTGTGTGCTGTTTTTAGATTGGGCTGGTTGTCGATCGGATGTTGCCAGTTGGTATGTTGGAATGGTAAGGAGGGTAGTGTCTCTGTTCAGTGCTGATCAGGACGGTTCATCATCTGGGATTCTCATATGGGATACTCATCCGAGATACACATCTGGGATTTGTTGTAGTATCATCATCCTAGTCATCATCTACAATATCGAGAGCAATGATGTGACAAGAACCCCTAAGTCAACGTCAACGTCAATACTTCAACCCAACCCTACCCGACAGCATGAATGGCCCGACAGCTAACACGGGAATACTCAGCGGCCCCTGAGTGAGTGCCGGTTAGGATCGGTCTCCGAGTGCTAAGATCAGAGCGGTCGGGTGCGATGGGCCACGTTGAGCCACGCGATCACGTTTTGGAATGGCCCCCCCCCAAATCAGACGGCTTACCCTATAGGCCACCCTGTATGCTTCCAGTGGGCGACAACACACGATGACCCGTAGACGTTAATACAGTAGTCTCTATACGTCTTAGGTCGATATGTGTGTGTCTAGATGGCTTGATTAAACTTAAAAGGAAGGAAATCTATCTATATCTCTCTAGATACACATTACCTGTCCATATCCTCCTGTCTTCCTTGGTGGCGGGACAAGAGGTTTCACGTGAAAGTAAAAACGAAAAGCCAATGACGTATCCCCCCCCCCTCTCAATACCTATTTTATCTTTGCATCATCATCGACTCCCTAAGCCATAAAGAGGAGCCAATGAGTCTCTCACCATCATTCTACTCCTCCTCTGCCCCCGTCGCTACTTTGATCCCAAACCTCTTTCCACCGTCAAACACTGAAACCTGCCCTGTGAATCAACAACAACAACAACAATCATCCACCAACGTCATGCCTCTCGTCACACCAACCTCTACTGCCGGAACGTCGCAGCTAGACGACTGGACAAACAAACTTGTCGGAAAGACGATCCACGATGAGGAATCCAATGAAACTGTACGTCTGTCCCATCCCATCACAGCACTTACCCTTACCGAGCTGACCTGGAGCGGTCAGGCCTTCTGCAAACGGAACCTTCCTCAGCCTTCACGCATCGTCAAGCCTGGTATGATGGTCACCAGGGATTTCAAGGAGGATAGGCTGAATGTCCACGTCAACGATGACGGTATCGTCTCTCACGTTACCTACGGGTAGATGCTGGGATGAGATCGGGTCAAATACAACGTCCTTGGTCGTTCGAGATACAGGCATCCGTACGAGCGTGGGGTCCCATGTGATCTCGTGATCGAGGCCTTGCCAACTGTCGAGCGCAGATTACTACGGGAAGATGTAGATTTACCTCGATCAGGTTGGATGTACACACTACATCGCAATATATAATATGCATTGCATAGCCTTCGCAGGGCTGAAGAGAAGACCATGGGACTCCCGTCGTCACAGATCGTGCACGTGATCAACCGAAGTTGAGGCCAAGACAACTCATTACGGCGACAATACGAGCCTAATCGAACACCATGACCCATTCTCATCAGACAGACCAGATAATAATAGAATCATTATTCCCCTTAATTCCCTCGGTTTTGAGCCCTTGGTAATCCGTAGTCATGCATAGCTCTCTAGAGCTGTACGTCACGTCACACACTCTGTAGTAGCTAAGCCAGAGAGCCCCGCCAAAATCGCGGGGCAACACTTTTGCTCTCGTCCATCTGCCCCTCCTTCTACCTTTTTTTTTTACTCAACACGTTAATATCAAGATACCAACACAACCCGTTAAACCCCCCCCCCCCCCCCCCTTCTCTCCCTGTCGCTGTCTCCAAAAAAAAGGAGAAGGAAGAAAGAAAAAAACAAAAAGCCGTCAAGATGTTTAAGAAGGAGTAAGTCTATCTCATTCTCCCAATCCATCGTCCTAAGAGAGAAGCAATGTACTACTACTACTACTACTACCTTGAACACCAAAAAAAAAGACCACTGATACCCAACAATCAAGACTCCAGCCCTCCCCCAAGCAAAAGCTCAAGTCTTCCGTCCAGCGATCACTCCGCTCGGCCCTACTGTCGACATACCCCCTCCTGGAGCCGTACATAGACGGCGTGATGCCGAAGAAGGCCTCCCTCGAGAGCATGAAGCTCCCCGACCGCAACACCCTCTATGTACTGGACTCGGTGCCCCTCTTCTACCAGCAGGACGGAAACGGCGCCGTCATCCCCCACCTCCGTCTCGTCCACCGGTACCCCCAGGCCTTCCCGACCATACGCATAGACAGGGGCGCCATCCGCTTCGTCCTCTCGGGCGCCACCCTCATGGCTCCCGGCCTGACCAGCAAGGGCGGCAGGCTGCCCGTCCAGGGCGCCCCCAAGGGCCTCCAGGAGGGCAAGGAGATGGACCAGAGCTGCGACGACGACGGGAGGTGGTCCAGGGAGCTGCTCAAGGGAGAGCCCGTCGTCATCATGGCAGAGGGAAAGACCGAGGCTTGCGCCGTCGGCACCCTCGTCGTCGGCACCGACGAGGTCAAGGCCAAAGGGAAGGGACCCGTGGTCGAGGACGCTCATTTCCTCGGTGATGGCCTGTGGAACATCAATACCGATTAGATTGGTCGTGTGTATACGCATATTCTGCAAGAGGAGCTGGCTTTACCCTCTTTTGGCTGTCCAAGTCTAGGACAACCTCCTCAATTTCTCTGTCAAATTTTTTTCTTGTATATGCAACGTCATGAGTGGAGTTGGGGAGACGAGAAGAGAAAAGGAATGAATCATGGTTACGATGCTCTTGCGAGCTCTTGATGGTCAAGATCAATCCATCCAAACACACCACACTAGAAACGCCGTTCGTATTGTCGAACAGACCTGTGACAGATTCACCTAGTAAATACCAAGCGAGAAGAGGACCCCTTTCTTTTCCATAGCATAGCGGCACGGGGCCGCTCGGGAAGGGGAAAGAGGAGATGAGCTTGTAGCAGTGTCTTCTATTGGAATACTCGAGATCATAAATCATTCCTCCTGCGGGGCCTCCTTCTTGGCCTTCTCCATGTACGACTTCCGATGCCTCTCCTCGGCAGCCTCGAGAACATCTTCCTTGATCTTCTCGATGAACTCCTTGACCTTGTAGATGACAAAGAGCCCATTCTCATCGACCACGTCAGCCGGCCGGGAGATCCCGTAGTCTAGGCTGTCATCAGCAATAATGCGACGGAGGGCCTTGATGGCGATTCCACGACGTTGCAGGGCGTAGTGATCCGACTTGTCCTCGGGCGCAGGAATGGCCTTCTTGATGATGCCGTTCCATATCAAGTCCTTCTGTTCCTGTAGGCGAAAGCTGTGGAGCTTGTCGTAGTACCGGTCCGCCGCCCCAAACGTAGCCAGGGCTTCGTCTGTGACCTTTTCCCGAGTCGTCCTCTCCTGAATGAAACGCCCTGAACGACGGCACTGTGGCCGGAACTCGTCGACCCATCGGCGGAACGAGGGTCGCTGATTCATGCGGCGGTGTTCGTTGGACTTGAGGTGTGCGTTTCCGGGGCTCCAGGGGCCCGCGACTGCCTCCCCGGCCCCCCCGGCCTTTTCGATCTCTCCAGTGCCCCCTCCCGTGCTCTCGATCCCATCAGTACCGACATCGAGGGTTGAGCCGCTCTCACTGTCCGGAGAGACCCAGAACATGGGGCAGCTAGTAACGTACTCGGCCATGGCGTCAAAGCTCTTGAATGGGCCTTTCCAGTATTCGAGAGGAGAAAGGTTCAGGAATTCGAGGACCTCGTCGGGTTCAGAGGTCAGAGGCACCTTGGAGAGCTTCCGGCTCCCCTCCTCGATTTCCGGAATACGTACCGACAAGGTGTGGTCGTCGACGGTAAGTCCGTACGGTCTGATCATGGATCCGATCATACTCCAGATATCCCCATGAGAATGCTTGAAGAGCATCCACTTCATGGACTCTCGGTCGGCACAGACCTGTACGTCGATCTGAATGAACCAGGCGCTGTCCTCATCCTTGCGGTGGGACGGCCAGGGGACGGCCAGTTGGATTTGACCAGCAACAATGATTACCTTGACGGCTCCGAGAGACTTGCTGACGGCTTCGAAAAGCTCTTGTCTAGATTCTTTGGTGTTCTTCGGCCCGCACACGAGGACGTCGATATCGCCGAAATCCTCCTTGTCGGGTCCATCGATGGGCGAGTCGACGACATCAAAATATCCTCGTAGGATATCATGGCACCGGGACTTTTGCTCGGCATAGACAGGCTCCGGCATCCGGGGTGTGTAGAGGGGGTCTGGACCAGCCGTGAAGGCCTTGCCTCCCATGTTTCCGGTCTCTTCCGGTCCTGCTCCCTCGGGATGGAAGTTTAGGGATCTTGTGAGAATGACAGGCCAACGACGGACGAATACATATGAGCATGTAGATGCACTCACCATCCAAGAGGGGAGGGAGAGCGAGCTTTAATACTGGAGACCTCGGAGAATGGGCGAGGATTCTTCTCGACAACCGACGGCCGTGAGTCAGCAGCGACCGAAGAAGCTTCTTGGTGACGATGGCAGCGACGGTGCTGGATCACGAAGTATCACAAGGAAGACCCCGTCATTGATGGACGGATAGCCTCTCGGATAGGAATCGCGCGATGAGCGAATCAAAGTGCATCACGAACGAGGGATGAGAAATGATGGAGGATACAACGTGTTCGTCATTCGCGGGGGAGAGAGGCAGGATGGGATGGTCCAATACAATCGAGCCACCCCCAAGGATGGAGCGTATAGGGTGTCCCCCCCCTTCTCTTTGGGCAAATATTATTATGACACGATTCCTAGGCAAGCGATGCTTTGCTCATGCAGCGAATATAAGGAAGAGGGCGTTTGCTGCCGTGAATGATTGCCCGCCCTGCAGAGTCCTCCCCCCCCCCATGCTCCCCTCCCATGCTCCGATTCACTTCGTTGGCTTCTACTTGCTTGCTTGGCTCGTGTACAGCTGCTTCCCGCTTCTGTTCTGTATGCTAGCTCATCCCATGCCAGTCCGTCCGGAGCGCATCGAACATGTCGATATTGGTCGATATAGGTCGATGCGAGACCTATCCTCTTTGATGTTGAGCACGACAACCTAGCATGACTACATACATGGACACATTGTGCGCGCATGCCTATGTTCCGCCGCGGTAATATTGTATGAAAACAAGAGCCAGGTTTGGCTGGCGTCACTATTGCGCAGTCTCGGCGGCCACGGATACGAGTCCGACGAGTACATCCATGTACCAGTGTACAGGTACATTGTGCTCCCCCCTTCCCACGCGCAGTTATCCCGATCATCCTTGGCTTCAATCTCGCAAAGCTAACAATCGTCACAAAGCAAGTCGGGCAAGCTGCATGCACAAGATGCGTCCTCCGTCCTCCAAAGTATTGGCGCTCAGTACCGCCATCATCGGCGCCGTTGCTGCCGAAGATTGTGCCGATAATCTCCACTTGCTCGTGGCGCGCGCGACAAACGAGGACCCCGGTGAGGGACAATCCGGTCAGGTGGCTACCAAGGTGATTGACCGTCTCAATGGAACCGACAGCGTCGGCCTCGATTACCCGGCCACCTTTATCGATCCGGCCTACGCCAGGTCGGTGTTGGAGGGGACGACCCGGCTGAAGGAGGACATTCTTGACTACCGCACGGCATGCCCGGACACCAAGATGGCCCTGTTGGGCTACTCGCAGGGTGCCCAGGTCATCATGGATACCATCTGCGGTTCCAGCAGCGTTGGCTTTGGCAACGAGACTGCTATATCCAGCGATATCATTGACGAGTCTAGTGCGTCTCTCTCTCTCTCTCTCTCCTTGATCTGCCATTTTTCCCCCATCTTCTTTTTCTTGTACTTGTCGATGTCATCCGGAGCTTCCGTTCCTCCCGGCTGATCTAATCAATCTGGTCTTGCAGTCGTTGCCATTGTACTCTTTGGCGATCCATCCTTTGTAGCCAATACGACCTACGACGCCGGCACGGCCATCCGGGACGGCATCTTTCCCCGCGACAACACCACCACCTGCGAGGGGCTGTCGGATCGGCTCATCTCGTTCTGCGACACGGGTGACGTATACTGCGACGCCGGCAACAACCGTACGACCCACGGCTCCTATATCCAGGTCTACGGAGACGAGGCGGCCGATTACATCATCGACCGCTACGAGAAGGCCACGGGAGACAGCAGCAACAGCACCGACAGCAGCAGCGCCGGAGACGGTGATGGTGATGGCAACAGCACCGACAGCGGCAACGCCGGCAACAGCGATGGTGACAGCAACAACTCGGACGACGGAGGAAGCGGTGCCGCGTCCGGCATGGCACCCACGCTCGGAGTCATCGGGTTGGCATCCCTGGTGGCAGCCATTGGGCTCTTGTAGACGAATGGTACATGTTTTGTTATTATCTGGTCGTATATTGTTCTGCCTCTGTCCTGATCGATCTGTAACGATGTCTGTTCTGTTTCATTGTCTTTCTTTGGGCAAAACACTGACTGCGTTTCACTTGAGTGGAGATTTTGACATTGCGCCGCTTGACATCGCCCCTATCGCCCCAAGTCTCGGTTCTTCACGGGGGCGGATCTCCTGGTTTCTACATATAGTGCATTAATGCTAGACGCTAGACTCTATAGCATCTGCGATATTGAGTATTGAGTATGAGTGTGCCACAGGATGTTTGCCAGCATTACACACTTGTCAGTACACACTGCCAGTACACCGACCTGAGCGATTGTCGCACGAGTGGAACTATCCGCGGAACAACCAAACACATGTCGCGTTTACCTTGATGAGCAGTCGTCCTTCCGAATCGCGTAATACTAGACGACAACTACTCCTACGGTACGAGCCCCATCCAACCCAACCACGACTCTTCCCGTACTCACCGGGAAGCTTCTACAGATACAGGTACAAGTATCCTACATGTACAGGTAGTAGGACTGGTAAGCCCAGGATGTACAGCTCGAGGTTCTTTCCCATGTACGGAATCAACACTACCTGTACACTCCCACGTAGCAAGATAGCTCTGACGGGAGAGTTTCCGAAGGAAGGCTGCATGTAGACACTATTCCCACAAGAGAAGCCAAGACTCATCGAAAGCATGCGAGTGCTGGTGCTGGTGCTGCCGGCCAACATCAGTCTATGAACACATTGTTAGTACCTAGCAATCAGGTCCCAGACGCACAGTTTAGCCCGGCCCGACATCTCTACTCTCGTAGTGGTCATAACCACTTACTGTAGTAACCGTGCAGTTGTAGGGTGCCATTGACATTTCCCCATCCTATGAAGGAGAGTCCCAGCTTTCGCCCCGTGCCAGTTTTCCCAGTGGGGAGGAAAACCGCACAACGCTCCAATCTCCTGATGGATCCGGCCCCGTTTTCGCGGGGTCCATGCGATCCGAGGGCGACAAGGTGGGGGGG